CTGGTACAGCTCTACCTACCCACCCCTTCAACCCCACCACGCACACAGTGCCAATGTCACAACGGGAAATTGTGCCAACAGCACAACCAGGTGATATTTTTAGTTGAGATAAATTAACCTCTGCAGGAGCCCTGGATGGTGCAGAGCAGAGCCTGTTCTGCCATGGCATTAACCGGGATGACCGGAGTTTGGTTACCTCGAGGCTCCCTCAAAGCTCTCTTGGAGTCATCAAAGCTTTGAGCCTTGGCTTCAAAGCCTTCGCTCCCTCCCTCCAGCTTTTCCTGGTCTGACTCCCCACGGGAGGGGCCTTTGCTGTTCCCTCACCTTCTCCAGTGGGAGGTTTGGAGCGAGAAGGGTTGTGCCAATTATAGTTTCCCAGCGAGTGATTCCTTTGTTTTGCTTTCCAGTCCTTCCCCCAGGGAGCCAGGTGGGGGAGGAAGGGAATATGGCTTTTGCTGCAGAGCAAAGAAAAAGGGAAGAGAAAGCCTGGAGGCCCCGTTGAGGGGGAAGAAGAAACTGGGGGAGGGAACAGAAAGCAAAGCAAATGTGCAAATAGCCTCGTTAGGGCAAGGGGGATGCTCTGGCCTGGGATTTGAAAACTTAATTAAACAAAGACTGTACTGCATCAAAGGGATCCTCTATCTGCAGGGAGATGGGCAGACAGATCTGAGGAATTTTTTCCACGTGCTGTTCTCTGTTACTCACCAGTAACAGGAGCGTGGGCTCCAGAAGAGCTTCCCTGATGTAAAAGTCAACTCATTTTTTTGGGGATTGTTTTTTGGGCTGTGTTTTTTTTTTTTTTTCCCTTACTGCTCTTACCCATCAGACCAGAATTCCTGTGAGCTGCTGAGTGCTGTGTGTGGAAAACCAGACACCGCCCTGCCGAGAGGAAACGGTTTGACCACAGTCCTGGTAAATATAGTTCCCCTGAGCTGCTGGTGGAGCAGCAGCTGATGAAGGGCTGCTCAGGGCTGCTCTCCCTTCCTGGCCTCCCTCACCTAGAGATGGGAGGAAATGACACCTCGCAGCAAACCCCAAGGCCACAAAGACTTTGGCACCTCCACACTCACACCTCGAGGTGGTTCAGGGGCGTCACCAGCAGCCAGCAGCGCCTTTGCTTCCACAACCATTTAAAGAGGTGGATTTCAGCTCTTAGGAGCAGGTTCCAGGCTTTTCCATTTTGCTTTGGGTGCTTTTAGCTCCTCTGTGTCACCTCCTTGTTGCTGTAGGACAGTCCTGTGCCAGTAATACCATTTGGGAGGGGGGTAAACTCCAGGAGCAGTTTGAAATCTTGGCCCCTAATCCACTACATACTGCATCATTCCAGAGAGAACTCCCATCTTCCAGGGAATTAAAATTAGAGTTGAATAGCAGTGAGTCAGACTCTCTGTTTTCATTTCCCATTTTCTGATTTCAAGCCAGATTTACAGAAGCTCCTGGGACTGGCAGCTCTGTCAGAACACAGTAGCAAGGGTGAGTGTTTTGTCCTTCAAAACCTGCCCTGCAGCCAAGCCTGGGGCTGACTCTATTTTTCCTTCCCCATAACAGTTTCCAGATGGGATATTTTCTGTGTGCAAAACAAATTCAGGTGAAGCTGAGACAAAGCCTCAGGTCCCTTGTGCTGCTTCTGTAACACTCCCTGGGCTTTCTGAGTTAATCCCTGGTTCCACAGCCTTGCAGTGCCTGGAGGTCTCCTGAGAACCTCACCTGAGCAAAAGCAAAACACAAGGAGATGTGTCTCCCTGTTCCATGGGGCCTGTCCCCCCGAAAAGGAGCTCTGTGGGATCTGCCCCTGCAAGAGAATGTCACCCTCTGCTGCCCACACCTTGGAGTGGGACCCCAACAGTGGCAGAAGGCTCACACCTGGAAAGATGGGGATGAAGGATGAGCAACTAAAAGTCTCCAAATAACATGTCATTCAAATAAATGAACTTTTCGCTAATTAATCCCCAAGTGCTGAGTCTTGGGGATGTGCTGTGCCCCTGCACTGGGAGCTGAGTCTCTTAGTTTAGGTCTGTGATGATTGTTGTTTCACTCTCCCTTTAGATGAGGTCTGAGGTGCAGCTAAAAACTTTCACAGTGTAAAAATACATATGTTTTAAAAGCGAGGGAATAAGGGATAGGGACCTTAAGCTGTAAACACAAGAATTTGTGGGAATAAGCTCACTCAAGCTGGTTGTAATATACCTAAATATCTATCTATGTAATATATCTAAAGATCAGGCAAGTGTAAGTCGTCGTTTCAGTAGAAAATGCCCTTCACCAAGACTGGGCAGGATGTGAAAATGGGTCGAATCCACAGGAACCTCACGAGCAGCCTGAGCTGTGCCTGTGAGCAGTTAGTTGGTTTGTGACTGAAGACGTGTCCCCTCCACCAGTTCCTGTTGTGTTCGTGCAATGACATTTCCCAGCAAGAGCCCTTTCTGCAGGCAGAACCATGCCAGTAAATAACTGTTTTTGTTAATGTCTAGTTTCACTTGAGGAGCAGCTCTGAGAGATCCTGAAAGAAATATTCTCCAGTAAATACTGTCTGTCTCCTGAAGTATCCAGGGCTCACAGAATGTTTGGGTAATGCCCTCAGGCACATGGTGGGATTGTTGGAGTGTCCTGTGCAAGGCCAGGAGTTGGACTCGATGATCCTTGTGGGTCCCTTCCAACTCAGGATATTTGTGATCCCTTAAATTTGGCTCACACAGCTGAGGTTTCTTCCAAATCACGTCTAGAATATGTTCCTTTTCTTCTGTGGGATTGAAATCTCAGGAACCACGACAGCAGCTTGACTGGAACACCTTACTCCAGGTCCGTGTGGTCATGGATCCTGGTCTGGAGGTTTATAAAACAGATGACTGTGCTCCCCTGCACTGTGCAGCTCTTAAATACCTTGTCAATCTAGTCTTGACCCACCTGTTCACAGCAGGTCTGGTTTGGTTTGTGAGGTCAATGTTCTCTCCTTCCTTTCACACAAGATCTGATGAATGTAAAAGTTCTGTACCTCTCATCAATATCAGACGTGAGTGGCATTTTCTTATTGTGAAAGCCAGAAAGTTCGATCCAGCAGGATTTTTCAGACCCTTACAGACTTGGAATAAGGAAGAGAGTAACGTAACACAATTCAGCTTCCATGTATGTGCAACACACACATATAATGCTCTCAGAGCTGGCTCAGGGACTGTCTTTGGGAGAGGACAAGCAAAATGCTGATTTTGGGATGACAGAAGTGCTGCGTGCCTGTACTGGGACATCCCAACCCCGACTGTGGGAATTAGGCTGAATATTCCAATAGGCCTTTTGTCCCAGTGATGGGCCACATTTAGTTTCTTTATGATGCCAAAAGCAAACTGAAAACAGATTATGTTTATGTGACATGACTTTTATGGGCTGTGGTTTATGAAACACGGTGATGGGCTTAACCCCAGGTAAGAAGCACCTTGAATAGAGCAGGTAGCATGTCCTAGGTGAGTGCTGAATGCTGTGTTTGCTTTGCAGGAGGTGAACTTACTTCTGAACAAATCCTTTGTTGCCAAATCTGTCGTCTGGAATTATTTTCCTGTATCATGTGTAACTTTGGGATGAAGATAAAAGTTCTGTTAGGATTACAGGCTTGTCCACGTTGCTCTCTAACTAATATTTGTTTGGTTTGGTTTTTTAAAAAATATTCATTATTGCAAATCTTAAATCATATTTGAAATGTACATTATGTGATATGAGCAGGGCCTAGGAGTGTTGCAAACCCCTTGGAGAAGAGTCCTGGAAATCACTGTCTCCAAGAAGTCACAAAGTGAAATGGTTGAACAGCCCCAAGCTTCAAATTATTTCCTTTGTTTGTGTTGCCTCAGGAAATTAACCATCAGCTAATTTAGATTACAATGGATTAGATTTCCTTAATTAAAGGCAGGTAACTGTGAGATAACTGCACACATGATAAAGATACTTTAGGGCATTCGTTACCTCAAAATCATTGTTGTGTTTCTGTCTCCTGGCCAGTTTTGACCCTTGGAGGATTTTACTGAGAAAAAGCTCTTAAAAATAATGGACGATGCTGCAAAATATTTTGGAAAATTCTAAGGAATTATCTCAGCTAGTTGTTTCTAATGCCAGCTGGGTTTTATTTACATGCTGGTAGAATTCCCGTAGACTGAGGACGTCCCATCCTCTGCACAGTTCCTGCTTGGAAAACACAGTCCACATGCATTAATTTGTACTCAGAATGCCTTATCTCATATAATTTGATTTAAACTGTTATTAATTCTACTTGTACAGAGAAATTTGTCTTCCCTGGCCCAGGTCAAAGACATAAAGTCTGGATTAAACACAGCTTAGCTGCAAAGGGAGGTTTTGGGAGGTTATTGCAGCAACAGCCTCAGATGGGGATTCTTATATTACCTGATAACCCAAAATAAAAGTTTTTTTATCTAGGGAAACCCCTTCAGAGCAAGTGATTTGTTTAATTCATGTTAAAACTCATGTTGTATAAATGTCATGTATGAAGGAGAGTTTAGTAAAGCACATCAACAGCACTGTGTATCTGTAAATAAAATTCCTCAGTTCTAATACTGTTTTCTCAAGTGCTAAAAAAATCCATTCCCTCTCTTGGGCCTTATAAACCCATATAAAATCTACCAAAACTTGTGAGTTTACAGCAGTTTGCTCGTACGAAGTGTTGGTACGTGTAAACCCCAGTGCTGAGAGGATGATGCTTAAAAACCACGGCCCGTAGGGACCCGACCGGGCAAGAGACACGAGGAAATAAAACTTTATTTTTCATTTTGGCCATTAAAAAGCAACATTTTCGAGGGTGTTGCCGCTCTCTGATCCCAGGGCCCGGGCGGGGCCCGCAGAGCCGCCTCAGCACTCCCGCCATTGGCGCGGAGGCACCGCCCACCCGCGCACGCCGAGTGACGCCACCTGTCAATCAGCTCAACGGCGCTCTCTGATTCGCTGTCGCCTCGTGTCACGTGGGAGAGGGCTGGCCGTATATAAGGCGGGCGGGGTAAGCGCCAGCCGCCATTTTGTCCAGTGAGGAAAAGCGGAGCTGGGGTCTCGCTGAGGGGTCGAGTCGGCTGAGTTTAGCGCGGGCTCCCTTCGCGCGCCCTCCCTCTGAGCATCGGTGAGGACCTTCACCCCAGAGGGCTTGTGGGGGGAGGCGGCGGCACCCGTGGTCTCGGGCCCCGGCGGGGCGGATGGAGGCGGCATCGGCGGCAAACAAAGAGCGGCCGCCATTTTGTGAGGCCGGGCCGCGGGCGGCGGCCGCCGCAACGCTGAGGGGAGGCGGCGGGGAGGCCACGGGTTGCCTGGACGAGCCCGTGCTCAGCCTGCTCTCGGTGGTGTGCGAGGCAAAGCGGGAGGTGCCGCGGGGGCGGAGTGGCGCCGTGCCGCCCGCCCGCGGCAGCGCTGGTCCCTCACGACGCACCGAGGAGCCGCTCCGTAGGGATTCCCCGGGCGCTGCCGGCGGGGCTCGGCTGGGGATGGCGCTGCCACCCCCGCATGTGCAGATCCCCCTGATCCCGATCCTAATCCCGATCCGGGAACAATGGAGCCTCCCCCGCGCTGCGCCCCCTGCGGGCCCCCCCGCGCTAAGCAGGGAAAGGGCGTAGGGACACCCTCCCCCCCCTCCCCTTTAAGGCCGTAAACCTTAAAAGTAGCCGAAATTCCCCCAAACAGTGAATTTTAATCACACTGCGACATAACAACTCGGATTTTTTTGTTCGATATTAACCCCCCCCCCGCCCGCCCGTTGCACACAGATTAATATTTCCATCGCATCAGGTCGTATCTCCGCTGAAGTTTCAGGCGGAAGGAGCCAACAGAACGACTTCCTTGGAAGCGAACAAGTGCACGCTCTGTGTTTAAATAGGCGTGAACTTCTTTTTTCTTGTCCTAGCAATGCATCGCGACTCTTGTCCGCTGGACTGCAAGGTTTATGTGGGTAACCTTGGAAACAATGGCAACAAAACGGAATTAGAGCGAGCTTTTGGCTACTATGGACCACTGCGCAGTGTGTGGGTGGCGAGAAATCCTCCCGGTTTTGCCTTTGTGGAATTCGAAGATCCACGAGATGCAGCTGATGCAGTAAGAGAACTAGATGGAAGGTAAGATGTGCTGCTTGTATGTTTGGCTCGGCTTGTGAAAAAGAAATTTTGGGTAGTTTTGCTGTGTAAATTGGAAAGTTTCAACTGCAGGGCCAAAGACTTGATGTGGTTATTTGTGTGATCCAGGGGTTTTCTTAATAGTGCAGAAGTAGAATCCCAGAATGGTTTGAGCTGGAAGGGACCTTAAAGCTCATGTAGTCCCACCCCCTTCCATGGGCAGGGACACCTTCCACCAGCCCAGGTTGCTCCAAGCCCCGTCCAACCTGGCCTTGGACACTTCCAGGGATGGGGCAGCCACAGCTTCTCTGGGCAACCTGTGCCAGGGCCTCAACACCCTCACAGGAAAAGATTTCTTCCCAATATCCAGTCAAAATCATCCTGATGCTATTCAGGAAGAAGGGCAGGTTAATTTTGCACTTCCGAATTGGACTCTCAAGTTAGAAATGATTTGGGTGTCTGCGTATGTGCTAAATTGAAGATGGTGTAACTATGAAGAGGTAAAACTGATTAGAGAAACTCGCCTTGGTTTCTTCCCTGCCTCCTTTACTGGCACAGTAGCTTTCAGAAGCAACCAAACCTTTTGTCTGCCCTAGAATCCCAAGCTGGTCTGGGGAGGAAGGAACCTTAGAACACGTCTCATTCCACCCCTTGCCGTGGGCAGGGACACCTTCCACTAGACCAGGTTGCTCAGAGCTTCCTTCAGCCTGGCCTTGAACGCTTCCAGGGGTGGTGCAGCCACTGTCACGCAGAAGTTGTTCTGAACACTTTTACTTTTACCTGTAGACAGAATGTTTTTACCTTATCTGCTCCTTATTCTTCTCTGGACTTGGCAGCTTTTATTCCACGCTGACTTCTCCCTGGGAACACTAACGTGTCCGTGTCTCTTCCCAGAACGCTGTGTGGGTGCCGAGTCCGAGTGGAGCTCTCCAATGGGGAGAAGCGGAGTCGGAACCGTGGCCCCCCTCCCTCGTGGGGCCGGCGTCCCCGGGACGACTATCGCAGGAGGAGTCCTCCCCCTCGGCGCAGGTACCTGGGGGCACAGCACACCTAGAGCTCTTGGCACTGTTACCACTGTAGCGTCCTAGAAGCAGGCTTGTTAAAGGCATGTTGATGGATAACATTCATCTATCTGATCATGATTTGGAGATGACAAATGCTGGAAAAAAAAAAAAAGAAAAAAATCCCCAAATCAACCCCTCCACAAAATCGAGGTGAACTTTAAGTTGTGTTGAATGTTGGCTTTTGTCCTTAGGTGACTGTGCAGTTGGTAGTCAGTGCCCTCTGTCCTGGGCTTATCCTCATTCCTCCTAAAATCTGCTCGTCTTCTAGTCACACTTTCCCTTTCTTCCCCATACTTCAACTTAGGCTGTTCCATTCCTTTATTCCATAATGGCAGAACATGACATACAGCAGTTTAGCATTTCCATACCGATGGGTTTCTCCGCTTTGTTTGCAGAATTTAAATACTTCCCAAGCAGGCAGCTGTTTAATAATGGATCGAGTAACAGTTGCTTTAAACATCTGGAATCTTTACACTTTAGTGTTAGAATTAAAGCATCGTGTGATAATCCTGTCAGTCGAGGTTTGCAAACACACCTCTAATATATAGCAGGACTTTTGGGAACTGGCACGTTCTTGGACCCAGACTAGTTAGTCTGGCTGTTCAGATGTGCAGCGTGCTTTTTACAGGACTGAATTTACCTGTGGCAGGTGAGTGAAGTCCTCCCGAGTCAGGGTTTTCAAGCTTACCCTTTTGCTGTTGAAAAGAAAAAAAAAAAAAAATAACACATTAGGAGTATTGTTAGCTAATAGATGGTTGTACTGATGGCTTGTTTTTCATTTTTTTTATGCTTTTTGGTCCATCTATTAATAAAAATGAACCCGTTACAGAGTCACCATCATGTCTCTTCTCACCACCCTCTGAGTCTGCATTAGCCAGCCAACTAGCCCTTTCAGCGTCATGTGACCAGCGCGCCCCATGCAGCTTGGCTGGTGTCGTTTCACATGACCCAGGCATGGCCAGTCGTCAGGTTGCACCGCCCTTTGGTTCCCGAGCATGCTGTTTTCTCTCAGCCTTCTCTCCAACCTTAACCAAATCGGCAGCAGCCACCTCGACCGCCCACACATTCCCGGCCAATCAGCTCAGCTGTTTATTTACCAAATGTCTTCACAACAACTACAGCAGCAGCCTTCGGCTAACAAAAAAGCAGGAAAAATCCACAACACCCCCTCCGCCAACCAACTAAATACAACGCAACATCTGGCAAAACCTTTTCAGCAAATTCTTCTTGGCAGTCAGTCCGGCAGCCTCACCTCACCATTTCTAGCTTGTTGAAACCAAAGACTTGTAAGTTTTTCCTGCTTATACAGTTTACTGCTGGTTAAAATAAGGAGTAAGCGGCTTATAAGTAATTACTTTTCTCAATCAAAGGCTGGCTGTGCATAATTGAGTGGTAACGTACATATGTTGCTTGAGAAAACTTTTAAGGGTGATACGGAAGCTCTTACACTGTGAATAACGTAAAAACCAGGATATTTGCATGTGAGATGCCAAACTAAATTTTTAATAAAGCTCTAACAAATGTAGCTTTTCCTTGCCAGAAAAATCCTATCACCTTTAAATGGTTTTACTAACAGTTTTCAAAACTTAAAACAATTACTTTTTGGGATGAACTGGGCCGAGCTAAGGTTATATTTTTAATTTTTTAATTTTTTTATAAGAAAGTAGTCTAAACACACTCGATGGCATTAAAAATGACAATCACAAATATGCAGTTCTAATGTAGCACTTAATGGCATTATCAAATTGACACTGAGCGCATTTTCACTTTTTTTTCCCACTTGATATCTCTTATGCCTTGTTACGGACCTTTTTGGCTTGCATGGGTTCCAAAACATTTGCTCTGTGCTATTTTTTTTTTTTATTTTTTTTTTTTTTTTTTTTTTTTTTTTTTTTTGGAACCACTTGTGGGACTTTGGTGTGGTGTTCTGGGCAGTGTATTTAGTTGAAATGGAAAGTGTTGCATTGGACAACTCTGCTCTGACGCATTCTTAGTTAAAGTGAATTCGTGGTTGGAAACGTGCTGTTCACACTGAGCTTGGTTTTACTGCCTAATCTTTCCATGCCTTTTACTGGATGATGGATGCCAGTTATTCTTGGCACGTTCCCTGGGCCCAACAGTGAGTTTGACAAGTTGGGAAATGCCTCACCCCGTTAATGCTCAAAGAATGGATAAAGTGCCTCACGTCTGGTTTTCTGGTTTTAGATCACCACGAAGGAGAAGCTTCTCCCGGAGCCGCAGCAGGTACGAATCCCTTCCTTCCCCCACGGACTGCTCTGGCCCGGAGGTGTGAAAAGGAACAGCCCAAAACAGCCCCATGTGCTGTGCACATTCAGACCATAGTTTGGTAAAAAGGAAATAGGTTTGCTTCTGCCATGTCATTTGCCTGGAATTACTCAGCTGTTTGAGATTCCAGAGTTAGCAGTGGAAGGATATTAAGAATAGAAGTATTTTCCATTCTGCAGCTGCCCTGTGGTTTTCTGCCAGTTTTTCCACAGAGTTTGTGTTAATGTGCTGCTCTTTGCCAGAAGTGTAGAATCATAGAACCATTTGGGTGGGAAAAGACCTTCAGTATTGAATCAGCCATAAATCAGGACGGTGATGAGGTTGGATTCTGAAAAAAAACCTGCTGCAGAGGACTAGGTGCCTGTACACAGCACAGCATAAGCTGTTGGCTCAAGCTGATCCTTCTTCCCTGAAGGGAAGGTTAATGGCATCTGCAACAGGTTTCCTCTGGTTGAATAGTTCAAAAACTTCACTCCTGAAGGGAAGCTTCAGGAGCCTTGTTGGCCTAATTGAGCTTTGCTCTGATCATCTGATCATCTTTGCTCTGTGATCTGTACCAGGTCCCTCTCCAGAGACAGAAGAAGAGAGAGATCACTCTCACGGGAGAGGAACCACAAGCCTTCTCGCTCCTTTTCCAGGTCTCGCAGGTAAGAAGAGTCTTCCAGTACTTGTGTTCTGAGTAAACATGTAAAAATGACTTTCTGTGCCTTGGTAATACTGATAAAGGTGGTGGTGGAGAAATACCTCTAGTATCTTACAAGGTTCTTCACCTTGAAGAATTAAATACTCAGTTTTATTAAATGAACAGTATCTTTTAAAGGCTTTAATATCTGCTGATCGGGACTGGGGGGTTTAAAGGAAAATCTGCTGCTCTTGGCACCTTGGATTTAAGCAAACCTAACCTGTCTGTTGTCCTTCAGTCGCTCCAGGTCAAATGAGAGGAAATAGGACTGTGGGAAGGAGCTGTGTACAGGAAGTCACCAGGTCCCAGGCCAGGAGTATGTACAGAACATTGTTTTGTTTTGAAACTTCATAAAGCTTGGTGCATTTTTAAAATGTTTTAGCTGTTGAACTTGCTTTGTTCCTTGTATCTTGTAACAGGTGGCAAATGTAAAGATGTGAATCTGTATATGGTTCTGAGCAGATCCTATGATTTTTATTATTAATGGTTTTCCAATGTACCATCAGACATGGTTTGTGTGTGTGTGGAATGGTAAATGGTCTGTGTCCGTAGCTGGGGGGGTTTGCTGGGGCTCAGCTCTCAAGGAAGTGTGCTGGGATGGTGTATTCCTTGTGGAATTGTGGCCCGGAGCAGAGCAGGATGTGGGTGCTCCAAAGCCCAGTTGCAGGGAAGAGTCAGAGCAGCGAGCCAGTGGCACGGGGAGGGAAGGGCTGGGCTGCAGCTTCATCCAGCTCCAGTTCTGACTGCATTACTTGGAACTGAGCTGCTTTATATTCCATGAATTACAAATTTTTAGCTGTAGGATCAGTTAATTTTGTACTTGGTGTGAGTAGAGTCCTTAATTAGCGATTGTTGATTGACCATCTATTCCAGAACCTCTGAATAGACCAAATCCACAAGCAGAACTGACACCTGGAGTGGATGTGTTAAGTGTCTAATGGTACATTGTAAACTTTAGGAGTTAAACATTTCTTTACTGTAAAAGACTTTTCATGTCACTTGTAAAATGTCTTTTGTGAGATCCTTGGGATTAAAGTTTTGGTTACAACTCGTTGTTCGGTATTTAACTCGTACCTGACTGACAGTCACCACACCTGGCTATATATAGCTCACCTGAACTGTCCAACAGGGCTGTGCCTGCAGTCTCTGCTCACCTCTGCTCCTCAGGGAATTCCACGGGAATCCAATCCCTTCAGCCAGGGTGGATTCAGGAGCTGATGGCACTTCTTGCCCAACAGGGATCCCCATAATGCTTCCTTGGAAAACCAGCTAGAGATGCAAGGGTTCACTGGCTTTGCATCTTGGGTGTGGGTTGGGCACAGCATTGAAGGTGTTCTTCCTTTCTCAGTTTGGGAATTACTGGTCTGGAAACCAGAGCTTTGCATGAAGATTCACTCCCTGTAAAACTGTGGCACAACTGGAGAGCAAGTGGATGTCCCACACTGCCCTGTTCCCTTGGTCCTGTATCCAAGAGAAGATGTGCTCCATTGGTTCAGTTGTGTGGTTTAGATATTAAATCCCTCACACTGAACAGTCTGATGATGGAGTTTCTTTCACTGGTGCTGTCCAGGCAAGGACAAGGTGATGGTGAAGCTGTAAAGGAAGGACCTGCTGGTGCTGCCCCCTTGGCTGCTGAGTTCAGTGTCTGGATTGATTGATTTTTTAATTAGTCAGTACTATTTGTGGTAGGGCTTGATCTTAAAAGTCTTTTCTAACCTAAACGAGTGATTCTCCTGAGCAGTTAATGCTGTGTGCTGCGGTGTGTCACTGAAATGCAGGTGAGCTGGGAAGGCGGAGGCAGGTTCCCTGGCTCTTCCCTGACCCTCTTTTCCATGAGGAGGACCCTGTTTCACCGAGGAGGGTGAGGGAGCAGCGGGTGGAGCCGGCCCGGGCCGTGCACTGCTGCAGGCCCCCGGCAGAGGTCAGGGCGGGCCCGGCCCGGGCGGCTCCTCCGCGCCGGGGCTGGGCCGCGTTTGCTCCCCAAGTGCCACATCCCGACTGCGCTGGCGCTGCCCAGGGGCGTGCACAGCTCTGTTCCCTTTCCCTACGTGCTTCTGGCAGTGTCTGAGGTGTGGAAGGGTCACAGCTTGTGGTGTCTCACGGCTGTTCCTCCTGTGGTTACGTGGGGGCACAAGGAGCCTTCGGTTGTTTCAGCTGCTGCAGGGACAGAAGTCTGAAGTGCCAGCGGGGAAGCAGGTTGTGGTTTTCATACCCAACAGAGTCTGCGGAACTGGAAGTATTTCAGCTTCGGGTTTCTGACTATTTTACTCCTCAGCTGAATAAGGAAGTTGCCTCTTTGATCAGAACTGTGCTGGTTTTATATAATGGGGGGCATTGAAGGGAAACAAAGTGAGTAGCTTCTAGAGAAAGATGGGAAATATATAAATATGTAAAAATGCTGACTGATCAGCCCTTCCCCCAGGGTGTAATTAGCAAGAGTTATTTTTTAGGCAGCAACACATTCATGGATTTCAGGCTTCCCATTCCTTTCTGTGAGGGAGTGACCGGCCTGGGAGTGTGATTTACAGGTAGAGCCTTGTGGCTTGTGTTTAATACTCTGAAATTAAATGTACAAGGAAGTGTTGGTGTTGTAAGACCAGGGACAGCCCTTGCCTCTCCCCAGAGATTCTGAAACCAGGAAAAGCCACCAAGCAGTGTGTCCTGGCCAGGAGAGGACAGAGGGACACTATCCAAGGCTCCTTGGCAGCACCCCATCCTCAGCCACAGCCCTGCTCCGAAGACCCCAGGGGTGGTGGGTCACTCACTGCTGCCTGACACCTTCCAAGTTGTCTCAGTGTCCTATTTCATGGTGTTGACAGTGATCTCAGCTGTGTTTCTAATTAGAGGAGAGGTTTAGCTGCCCCAGCTTCAGGCAGGAGCATCCTGGGGTTAATCCTGAGTTCTCTCAGGCTCCTCAGCAGTGCCTGAGCACATCCCAGAGGTTCTTTTCTCACACTGTCCCCGGGGAGATCATTGTGTGCAAATGGGTTTGGGAAGAAAAGGATCTTGTTTTTTTCTTTTTATGTCCATGCTGCTCCTTATTTATGACAGAAGATCATGTTAAGAATGTGCCTTGCACTTAGAAAAGGGAGAGGTTAAGGATGTTCCTGGTTTTGTTGCGATTTGTTCCACTGACCTTTGGGCGGGGTCGTGTTTGGGTGAGGAGTTGTGGCCCTCCCCAATAATGACAGTGCTTTTGGTTAAAAAAACTGTGTTTCAGCTACTCTGGAGAGCTGCTGCAGTTCAATGTGCAGGATGACATGTCCACATCCACGTGGTAGTTGTGACAGGAAACTGGAGAAAAGCAGTGCTGACAGACAGTGTTAGAAAAACAAGGTAAAAAATTTCCTTGAAAAACAAAGTGAAGTATTTGCAACATTAGTTTTTGTCTGTTCCACTCAAATTCACCAGGTTTTGGGCTACAAGTGACCCTCTTCAGCAAGCTGAAGGAAGCCAGTGTAATCATATTCAGTGCTAATGTCAAAATTGAGCCTTGGGAAGAGTTGCAGCCAAAGCCCAGTTTAGGGGGAGAGCCTGGTAATTTCTGCTTTCTCCTCTATTAAACTGATTTGCCTCCTTGCTAAAAGAGCAGAAAAGAACTTCAGAAGTCCAGAGCCGAATGTAGTAGCTTTTATTTTTTTCTTGGACAAGCAGGTGTGCTGTGTTATCCCCCCCTCTTCCTCCAAACCCGACCTGGTTGTGGAGCTCTGCTCTTCTTGTCCTCCAGCCATACCAGGAACCGAAATACCTTACTGATCGAAGATCCTTGTGTTTCATCCTTTCTCTGCCTTTGCATTTGCTTTTGTTTGAAGTCAGAGGAGATCAGAGAGAACCACACAGTGCCTGCAGATGTTGTGCACCAGCCCTGGAGCAGGTTACAGGTTCTTATCTCTGAACTTCTTTGTGGGGACCTGCCAGCAGAACCCACCTCTGGATGTGACCAGTGCCTGAGCAGTTCTGCAGCCTTTTTCTGCTGTTATCACCTCTTTTCAGCTTCTAGTTTTACTTTCATCTGCCATTATCTCATCACCTTGAGATACCCCCAATGTCTCCTGACATAAAGATCCTCAGAGTGTTTGAACATTTGACAAACTTTGCAGTTTCTGCCGGATTTAATCCCTGTCCTGTACCCACATTCAAATCCTACACCAGAAATACCACCCAAAACCTGAGCTGCAGTCCCCACCACGAATCCCCCTGCTCTGGTGCTGTTGTAGTGCAGAGTCTCTTGGCTGGAAAAGGAAAAACACTGAAAAAACCGGGGCATCAACCCCTTTTGCAAACAGAAGGCCGAAGGGCAGGAGTGCAATTCCAGTCGCTCCGGTTCGACCTTAGCTCCCGCACATGAGGTGCTGGCACAGGGCTGTAAAGGGGCACGTCTGCATTTCCCTGGTGCTGGAATGCAGCTGGCTCCCATTTCACACCTCAACCTGCCAAGGAGAGGCAAAATAAAGCCAATTTTCGCTTTGGCAACATTCACAGTCAGCCGGTGAAGCGGCTGCCGGAGCTGAAGCCGCATCCCCTCTGCGTGAGGAGTGTTCTGGCTTCCTAGAAACAGTCACTGTCTGGGGTGGCTCTTTCATTTCTGCAGCTTCACTGGGGCACGGCCACAAGTTCTCTCTGTTAGTGCCCTTCAAACAAACACTGTTGGGGACTAAAATAAACACGAGATCCAGACAAATATAAAGTAGACGATGCAAGAGGAACGCTATGTTCGTTCCCAAGTGATTCATCCGGCTATTATTTAATAATTTAGTGTCTGACATAACTTGGGAGTTGAACAAATCTTCACATGGATTCGGGTGGTGTTTGTGCTTGGTCCTCTAAGTAAGATTTTCTGTGGGAGTGATCCCAGCCAGGAAAGGGAAGTGTGTGTCCTTCCCAGATAGATTCTGTCACTGATTACAATGGTATTACTCCCTGACTACCAGAGGATTCATCCTGCTACAGTCAGATTGTTGTCCCTAGGCATTTGCTGGACAACACAGACACTGACAGGCTGTGATGGGCTGATGGTACCACCCCCAAAACAACGAGGACGTGGTGTGACAGGCCCTGGGCAGCCCCAGCCCTCCCTGCTATCAGGGTGGGGCAGTGGTAGCAGGGTGGGGCACTGTGTCACCCTGGGTGTCACTTGGGAAAATCAGCCCTGCCAGCTGTGAGACAGGCATTATCTCCCTGTGGGCAGAGGCTGCTTAGAACATGAATATTCAACAATATTCATCAGGAAGACCCAGCACCATCCGGCCTCCCCCACTGACTGACAGCTCAACGTCAGTGTTTGCAGTCACTGTTTCATAAAATCCCAGACTGGTTTGCATTGGAAGAGACCTTAAAGCTCATCTCATTCCGCAGCCCTTCCACTAGCCCAGCTTGCTCAGAGCTTCATCCAGCCTGGCCTTGGACACTTCCAGGGTGGCAGCCACAGCTTCCCTGGGCAACCTGTGCCAGGGCCTCACCCCCCTTTCAGGGAACATTCCTCCCAATATCACACCTAACACTGCCCTCTGGCAGTAGGAAGCCATTCCCCCTTGTCCTTTCCCTCCAGTTCTGGATGAAGAATCCCCCTTCCCTGTAGCCCTTCAGGCACTGGAAGGTGCTGTGAGGGCTCCATGTATTTCTGACTAACACCAGTGGTTTTGCTCTGCCTGCACTGGGGCCGCGCCTTCCTGGTGCTGGATTGATCAGCTTTTCATGCACTTGTACTATAAACTTTGTGGGAGGAGGCTGCCCCAGCTGGGGAGATAGGCTGGCTCCAGGTGTGTCCACTGCAGCTCCTGCCAAGTTGTCCCTCAGCTGCCTGGCTGCCACGTGCCACTCGGAAACTCGTGGAGGAAAGTTCACCAGAACTGGACTCAGGAGTTCCCCTGCGCAGGGGACATTTGGCAGGGACCCGTGGGGTGTTTTTTGACCTGTAGACATGTTTTTAGGGTTTCAAGTTTCTTAGAATCACGGAGTCATTTAGGTTGGAAAAGCCCTCTAAGTTCAAGTCCAGCCGTTCCCCCATGGCCGTGTTCACCACTAACCCGTGTCCCCAAGAGCCTTGTCCACGC